ATCCTCACTATGAATTTTGCATAGTTGAAATTTCACAGTCAGGAAATTATTGCTTTGCATATTGCCAATAAATTCCACATGAACAAATTTTCAGTACAGTCAATGGAAAAAGTATTGGCAACACCCAAGCAAGCTAAATAAAATTGGTTATAACTTTGGCATGCGTTATCAAATTAGCGTGAAACTTTGAACACATTTGATAAATCTAATGTAGTGTTCGATTATAATTGTGTTTCCGATTTAAACCTAGTAAACATAACGCAATCCAAATTTTGACCCTAACTAGTCAGGTACGAACCTGCAAAAAGTATTGGCAACATGTGGCTAAATTAGTTACTCGACACAATTTTCTTAACCATCTTCCACATTTCGTTACGGTAAGGTAATTAAGTGACAAAATATAACGGTAGCGACATTTTAAGTCTACAGTTGTGTTGTCTGGAGCCAAAATGGCGGCACTAAACCAGCTGTATTTGGCGCGGCGAGAAATATTCATGCCTCTTCCATAAAAATGCTTTGTTATCGAAAAATCAAAGAGAAAACATACTTTTCCATATTCACTATTGAAAACGTAGCAAAGAAATATAAAATGACGATCTCAGTTTCTACTTTTCCATGATGCGGAAGAAAAAGGTCACCTACGCCCAAAATCTACTGATGAATCAAGCAACAAATCACTCGAGATCGGAAGATTTTAGCCCCCAAATCCATGTTGAATTGCAGTACTAACTGTGGGCAAACATATCATTCAATTTGGTGTTCACTAAAAAATTATGCCTTGGGGTTTCAGGCTCCAGTAGCCCGACCGACGAGAGAATCCCCAAAGCGAACCACCTCAATAAATTGGGATGGGCTAAATATAAGCCTCAATTGACTTCCAATGAATGAAATAAAATCTACTGGTACGACATAGGCATATTTTACTTATTCGGAGCTCATTAATTGGTTCAAGTCTGGCGGATGCCATAAAAGGCTCAGAAATACGAAAACGTTCGTATGACAGTTTAACACATAGGAGGATCGATTATGGTTTGGGGTTAAATGACTAGGTGGCGGCGTGTTTACCTGGTCATTATCGATAAAATCATGACCAGGGAGGTCTAATTAATCATTCCAAACGATAATTTGATATTTGATAAAAACCTGATATGGGGAGGAATTTTATATTCCAAAAATGCAGTGACCCAAAACAGCTACCCCAATTAAGGATGCAAGTTTTTGGAGACCGAAAAGGTTAAGCTTCTTTCAATTCAATTCAATCTTTATTCAAGTGACTGCGATAAAAATATGTAGGTACACATTTCGTTGGCTGCACAGTCTCCTGATGTCATTCTGATTATTTGGGCTGCGAAAAGAGAGACCGGTGGGAAACCACTCGATGAAAAACGAGCTTGTCAAAAGTTCGAAACAAGTGTGGCCAACCATATAAAAAAACGTTATAAAGAACCTTGTCGAATCAATTCAACGGCCTATTTATGGTCTTATTGCGTCGAGGGGAGGTGCCGCGTAACATTAGAAGCAGTGTGACGTAATAAAATTGGCGATTCTTTGATTTATGATTTTATAAGTTATAGGGTGCCAATACTTTTTGCGGGTTAATTTTACATATTTTCCAACAAATTATTTAAAAACTGTGTTTATCCAATTTTAATCAATAAAACATGATTATAATCGAAAACTACATTAGATTTGCTAATTGCGTACAAATTTTCATGCTAATTTGATAATGCATGCCAAAGTTATAGCCAATTTTATTTAGCTTGTGTGGGTGTTGCCAATACTAGTTCCATTGACTGTATATTGGGATATCCATACATATTTGCGTTCATTCTTCCCGGTGTTGACGGATTTTCTGGAAATCATGAGGACCAGTTCAAAAGCTACAATCAAATGGGTTTAATGGCGAATTTGGCGATGAGTCACACAAATAATAAATGAAACAATTTCCGAGTTCAAAAAGTTTGTTTTGCCATGATTAATCCGTGACGTATCTATGTATTTGCATACATAGTAAACCTCAATTCATGTTCATAAATTTCTAATGACGATTGATGATTTCTATCTAATGACGTGAACAATGACGAGGTAATGTCCAATCGTCATTTATTAAACCACACGAGTTACCACAAGTCGCATATGTACATACATAGTACGTACAGTGACTAAATTTGAACACCATGGTGTTTGCATACATACGTATATGTAATTTTATGCTAAAACAAAGCTCCCAGTTTCTACGAATACTCATGAAATCTGACCAAATTTCGCCGACGATATCATAGGATTCGTCATGCCCTTCAGTAATAAAAAATATGCGTCCGGATTTTAAATATTGTTCGATTTAGCAATTTTGAAGCTCATGAAACATTTTTTGGTATATAAACAGACGAAATTGTAGGAAAAAAAATTATGCTCTTCCAATCTTCTCTAGAGTACATTGTACTAGGCAAGAAAGTAACTCGCCACTCCTCGGAAATACATTTATTGAACTATTTACAACATAAAAGTTTATTTTTAGGTAAGAATCTACTAATTAATACTTAAGGAGTAAATGCAAATTTATGTGTTATTAACTTAACAGAGATTTTTTAATTTAGCTAGTTCGAAATTGACTTAATTCACCAAAATGTGTTGCAAGAATGAGATTACTAACAACACCGGAAGTACTAAAGCTGCGAAGACTCCGTCGCAATCAATATGTAGCATGGGATTTGGAAATAAGAACAATGACGCCCTTGTCGTTCACCGCGGTAACGGCGGTCCAAATGCGCAATGCTTAACTTGTGGAAGTTTCTTCCCATGGGGATATAGCTGCCCAGGATGCAAGAAGTAGATTAATAATGCAAATTACTGACATTTTTATACACACAAATCAACCCGCGGGTAGACTGTAGGCGGGTATTTTTTCTTCTTTACACAATGTATTATACCCTGTATTTAGTATACCCTCATGCTATATATTTTGTACTGTATTTAGTAAATACATACATAAGTACGTAAATAATGAGATTTAATCGCTTTAGGTCAATCCAATTGCATTTGAAATAATAGAACTTTGATTTCTAACTGTTTTCGATCAATATGTATATATATCCTAACCAAAAATTATTTTATGAACTATGTACTTCCAGTAATATTTAGCCAAATTTGGACAACTTTTCTAAAATTGAATTTCTCAAAGTCAGCATTCACAAATTTTGCCTTGTTCCATGTGTAGCTGACTATGCAGAAGCACCACCCTCAATATTATGGTGGATTATTGATCTATCTTCTAATAATTACACAAAATTTGTTACGCCAAAATCGCTGCCGCTCAAAAATTTCCTTATATACCTGCATATTAAAAATACCTACGAAATAAATTACATGCTGCCAAAATAATATACATATCACAAGTAGTATGAATGTATTTAAAGGTCAAATTGAAACAAATACATAGATAATTATCTGAGTTTCTATATACATATAATTGCACGTAAAAAATGTCAATCAACTACCAGTTATTGAATTCCTACAACATAAACGAAGTGATAGGTAAGTTCTGCCCCTAGTAACTCTGTAAAGGTGACTTATGTACATACATTAGATCACGATCAATCTATTTACATATGATATTTATGCTACCGCTGTATGTACATATTTATGAAACTGAAGTAGCTATGTACATAATTAAAATAATGGGCTTGCATTAACTTTATGGAAGTGGCCGCGGAAGCAGTGGGACCATCTTGAAACCGTAACTTTGTAGGATAGCGGAGGGCGGTTTTTACATAGCATGAACAGAAAATTGGGACATCGAATTGTCCTGCCGACATTCTCGCTCTGTCCACCCCCTTCCGCGGCCACTGTTTCCTGGCAAACGTCGCATTAAAAACTGGAAACAAAATATTTTCCTAGCTAAATAATTACGTACTAAAATTAGTCTACGTGCATTCATCTTGCCAACACAAATTCGCAAGCATGTCCAGCTTGGTAAACATTTTCCGCAAAGTATTTTTACCAAGAATGCAATTTTTTGTTCAAAACTTACGCGAAATTTGGGAACCCACCCTCCTCGCTTGCTCAAATATTCCCATCGTCCTCCGAATATGTCGGTATTGCCTCTGGATGAAACCAGTACCATTTTCCCTGTATAAATCCAATTTCCGTTTAATGACGCACGAAAAATGGCACATGATGCAAAATTTTATTTGCTGGCTAAACAGCTTCACACATTTCGTCATCGTGCTGAATTGGTTCCTAAAATTTTGGTGCGATCCCTCCTTCGAAAATTGGAAACGTGTCATGATGGCGTATTTTTTGGTTATTTTTGCCGCAGTGAGTTACGCTATACTGCATCTCTGGAGGGTTCGGGATGAAGTCGTGTTTCTTATTAATTCGACAGTTCGCCTGGAGACGGAATTTGTGCGGAGATGTAAGATACTACAAATAGCTTACAAGGGACACTCACGACCTGTCGTTTGAGTCCAGGGTACCCACCATGCTTTTTAGAATCTACTAGGACCCCAGATGAAGGATTCATTCATATTTCCGTGTAAAACTCATATTTGGCGCCGTGCCGTGGCGCTAAATTCTGGATGGAAGAAAGCAACTATCTGGGAGTATAATGGCGAAAGAAATTTCAAAATCCGAGTAAAATTGGATTTTTGGCGTGGATTTGAGTGAGTGAAAACTGGAGTGAAAGCGTTTTTTGAGCATTTTTGAGTGGGTGTGGCGGGCGCAAATGTGGCCATGGAGTCAAACCACTTCAGGGTTTTAGTACACTCATGGGACCCTACCACATATCCAAAGGGCATCAAGATCTGTTATTATCAACCTCGCAAGCTCCCCTCCTGAGAATTAAAACGGGTTATTGTTGTGTATAATGTAATCCCCTCATATTTACATAATGTCTTGTGCGACTTATATAAATACCCCGTGAAGCCAGGACTTTAACTTATTCTGAAATTCAGAATACCAGAACCAAAACTTTGAATCATTGTTAGTCTTTGCATAACAATATGCCTGGTAAGTACTTACTTAACAAGGTATATGCATTTATTAAAATAATTTATAAAGATTGCATGATTCGTTCATTTCAAGTGGGAAGCAAAATCTGGATAACGTTTGCCGAGGACGACACCGATGCTTGGAAATGTATCGCGCTGGTTCGATCTCTAAAAGCAAGTATTTCCACGAGACACGCTGTGATCCTTTTATCAAAAAATGTGTCGCAAAATATGTGGTAAATAATTCAGTTTCATGTATACTTTCACAAATAGTTACATCTCTAAATTGGTAAAATTTCAGGCTAAAGCTGCAATCTGAGTTCAATGCGTGCTATCTCGTTATCGAGGACGAATTATCTACCAAGGTTGAATTCCGTACTGGGGCATTGTGGTACGCGTATGAAAATTGGAGTCATTTTGTCTGGTTGGACTGTAACTGTCTCGTTGTGCGGAACTGTGACGATCTTTTTCATCGAAGCGGCGTCCAGTGGGCGGGGAGCAAAGATGGAGAGGTGGTGCCCGTGTTTCTTTCGAACATTGTAACAGAATCTGAGCTGGGAGATAAAAAATATGCCACTTTGAGAGAAAGTACATACTGATTGATTAACAACGTCCTTGTCATATTCATTCATTGAAAGATTGCTTATTTGTTTAAGATGGAAGATATTTTGGCAAAGAGTTGGATTACTGCCATGTAATTGACATGGACAGGTGAGGCTTGTGTGATCATTGATCTAATTCCTGCTCGCCATAATGGTACAAATAATTTTTCAATTGTTTTGACCAAGCTCAACAAATAATCCACTTTGCGGAAAGAACCTCAAACTGATTTATTTCTCGAATGGGCACCCACTTGAATCCACTTCTTATCAAGAACGAAGCAGAAAGACTGCGAATTTGGACAATGATCTTAAAGAGAAAGCTACCGAGTTATGTAAACACTTTTGTCCCGAACTGTTCCCTAGCAATGTAAATTTAAACACTTTATGCAAAAATCATCCAGGACATAAGTAATTGACTCAATTATAATTGATTTGCCTAAAACCTAGACTATTCAACCCATTGCTAACAAAATTCCTAGCCAAGTTACAAATTCCATCGCTATAGTCGGGATGGCTTGTCGGTACCCGGGCGTAAATAGCATCGCTGAATTCTGGGAGTTATTAGTAAATGGTTTGGATGGAATTAGCAAAGTTCCCGAGAGACGATGGACCAAAGAGAATGCATTGTAAATATATTTGTTAAGGAATGACTCGGAAATTACGTAGTTAACGCGTTCTATGTACATACGTGCTACCTATTGACATAAGACTCGTTTCACGTAATTTCCGAATCATCCCTGTAAATTTTTATACAATACAGGATATAAATTGGCAGTAATTTAAATGCAGAGGTCGAATGGGGAACTGGCGAAATACGGAGGCAGGCTTTCTTTCCTGCTCGATAGAAAACTTTGACTCTAAATTTTTTAACACGAACGCCGCCGACATGCAATTTCTCGACCCTCAGCAAAGATTATCTCTCCGCGTTGTTTGGGAAGCTTTGGAGCATGCCGGCATTGATCCGCTGTCGTTAAAGAATTCACTGACAGGAGTTTTCGAAGGGTGAGACGCTGAGAAAACTATTGAATGAGAAATTATGTAATTAATCTATTTTTTTACCTCGCAGATGGTGGAGAGGAGACTACAAAGAGTTGTTGCAGATGCAGGGTGCCCTGTTCGACACGGATTTTCTTCGAGGTTACATGGGCAACGCTCTTGGTCCCTTCACCGCGAGGATATCTCACTTTTTGGAGCTTATCGGACCAAGTTTCTCTACGGAGAGTGGTTGCTCGACCTCCGTCGTTGGGGTGGATATGGCATGCGACAGTTTAAGAAATGAGGCGTGCAATTTAGCCATCGCGGTGGGAGCGAAGCTACTCCTACACCCGTACACTTTGGGTGAAGGGTTAATGGAAGGCGTCCTAGCGAGGGATGGAAGATGCAAAACTTTTGATAGTTCTGCTGACGGATTTGGCCGCGCAGAGGGCATCGGAGTATTGATTTTGAAACGATATTCTGACGCCGTAGCGGATGGTGATCGCATTTGGGGATTGATTCGAGGTTCCGCCGTGGTGCAGGAGGGACCAAGTAAAAGTATGGGGACACCAACTGTCGGGGTGGAAGCGAAAGCTATGGAGGTTTGTATTTTGTCCTACTGTTAAAAAAATTATAGTATTTCATGAAAATTTGTAACTATTTAGCTCGGCCTACATAGAGCTGGTGTGAAACCTAACCAAGTCCAGTACGTCGAAATGCATGGCACAGGTAAAACTAATTTTACAACGTTTTTCAACCTTTGAAGGTTGCAAAAAACACTCACTGTCATATGTTTTTGCAAAAAACACTCAACTGTCAAATGTTTTCTGCGAAAATCACTTAATGTCAACTGTTTCTTGCGAAAAACAGGTACGCCGGTGGGTGATCCTATTGAGGTTGAAGCAGTCTCAAGAGCTTATTCTAATCGGGAAAATATCCTCACCATCGGTTCCGTAAAGACTAACATCGGTCATACCGAATCAGTTTGCGGAATAGCTAGCATTCAGAAAGTTGTACTTTCGATGCATCACGAAATAATCCCAGAGCATCTACATTTCAATAAACTCAATCCGGAAATAGATTTGGCTTCCATTCCCGCACAAATCCCGCTCAAACAGGTCGAGTGGAAGCGGGCCATGGATAATGGACAACTGCGTATAGCAGGAGTAAATTCATTCGGAATAACTGGCGCTCAGGCGCACGTAATTGTTCAAGAACCCCCGTCGAATGGTTATCCATCAGAGGACATGGAGATAACCTTTCATGATGAAAGACCTCGCAAAATTTTCACCTTCTCTGCAAAAACCGAGGCTTCCTTCCATTCTCAGGTGGAGGCTTACAAGACTTTTCTAACATCGACGGACTGCTCTTTAACTGACATCGAAGTCACGATGCATACTGGCAGAGCACATTTTCCACTACGTGGCTTTGCAATTTGTGACACTAAAGAAGAGCTGATTGCATCGTTGGATCTTCTCCGACCAAAACATGTACCAAATTCGGGATCGAAATTGTGTTTCCTATTTACCGGGCAGGGATCACAATATATCGGAATGGCAAAATCTCTTTACGAAGAAAGCATCGTATTTAGGTCAAATTTCGAATTGTGTGAGTCCATACTATTCACCGAGCATGGAATCTCCATCAAAGACGCCTTGTGGGATTCAAGTAACGAGCAGGATCTTATAAACCAGACTTTGTACAGTCAAACGTCGATATTCTGCGTGGAATTTTGTCTCCTCAAATTATGGGAGTCTTGGGGAGTGGTGCCAGATGCAGTGATGGGTCACAGCATTTTGCCAGCTGAATTTGTTGCAGCCGTCGCGGCGGGAATTCTGACTCTTCATGATGCTCTAAAACTTGTGGTATCAAGATCCATTTTGATCGAATCATTACCAAAAAGCGGTATGATCGTGGTCGGTGCGGATCTTCAAACATCAAGAAAACATTTGGATAACGCATTTACCAATACGAGCCAGAAATGGCTTGACATAGCTGCGGTGAACTCGACAGGTCAAACAGTTATGGCAGGAACAACTGAAAATATTCAAGAATTTCATACATATTGCAAAAATAATGGTGTCAAGACTCACGTACTAAAATCGTCGCACTCATTTCACTCAAAACTGTTGGATCTGATCCTTGAAAAATATAAAAGGATAGTTGACACCATTGATTTTTCCCCTGCGACAAAATGCTCTTTTATATCAGCGGTTGACGGAAAAACGATTACTAAAACTGATTCGAATTACTGGGTTCGGCACACTCGAGAGAAAGTTTGTTTCATGGAAGCGAGCAAGGCGGCGGCAGATCTTGGAATGACTGGATTTATTGAAGTCGGACCCCAACCTGTGCTGTCAGGCCTACTCTTGGAAAATATCGATGAGGTATAGTGGTCATTTATGTGTTCATTGTAATGTCCCATTCGTTATGTCTGAACGCTGTTAAAACTTGGTGTACATACCCATATAACATTTTTTAGATCGTGGAAATTTCAATTCTCGCCCCGTCTCTTAAAAGGAACGAGCCTGAGTGGGAGACGATGCTTTCCACGCTGGGAAAACTGTATTTGGCAGGAATCAAAATTAACTGGTCAGGTTTCCATCGGTACACGAACGGAAGGAAGGTAGACGTTCCAGGCTATCAATTTGACGAAATTCCATACTGGGTGACCGTAAAAAATAGGAATCGAACCCATTTCCATCCTCTACTCGGTGCCTACGTACCGAACGCTTCAGATTTGACAATTTTCAACAACAGCATCGATGTGCAGAGGTTACCCTTCTTGAAGGACCATTCCCTCGGGGATAAGATCATATATCCCTGTGCAGGATATTTGGACATGTGCATGACTTCGTCGTACGTGGCAAGTGAATGCAAAAGAGGGATGTTTACTAAGCCAACGAGTATGCTGACCATTTCAAATTTCTCCATCATTACGCCAATCTGCTTAACCGAAGGACAGCCTATTGATACACAAGTAAAAATCTTCACAGTTTTCTCCATAGTATTAAATAGTTTGCACACTTTAACAAATTTTCTAATCAGGTTGTCGTCTCTCAAACTCCGGAAGGAGGCTTGTGTTCCACCATTTACTCACAAATTCAACTAGATGACCAGGAAAATAAATGGGTCAAAAATGCTACCGCACAGCTTGGAACCTTTACATCAGATTTTAATAATTTACCAGAATTGCACGATATCAGGAAACGATGCTATGACGTCGTAATGGATACCTTGGACTACAAAGTCTTTGAGGAATACGGATTCAATTTTGGTCCAACGTTACGTATATTGACCACAGTTTGGGGAAATTCCGGTGGAGAATACCTCTTCAAGTTTGAAGTGTCCGAATCGGATGAAGATATTGACCGGTTTATTATCCATCCCTGGATTGTTGATTCCATGTTGCAGGCGCAAATAATCAGCATTTTTATATTCACCCGCCCACCCAAGCAACTCTTCGTACCCGTGCAAATAGCTAGTTTTGCCTGGTTCGGTGGTCACGTGGCACGGTCAGGTTACGTGTATACAAGTGTCGGATCCGGATACAATGAAGCATATTTGTTTGACGAGGATGGAAATCGAATAAGTTGCATGCACGGGACGGAATATATTCCGACAAATCTGGGAAATTTACTGGCACTAATTGACGCGCAGAAGAATCCGCTTCCCTCAATGGCTGAATATTCCTGGAGACAGTTTCTGGGTCCGGAAGAGAGGAGAATTCCTGACGAAGAGAGGGGGTTAATTTGCCTTAAAGACATGGTAAATTCGTGCAATATTAAAGATACTGAATTTACTCAAGAAGAGGAACAATTTTACAACAATTTGCAAGATTTAGCAGGACTTTATATATTAAAGGTGGCAAAACAGCTTCACCTTGATAACCAGGAAGAATGTAAATGGCCCCAAATTGCAGAGAGGATAAATATCTCACCAAAATTTTGTGAATTCTTTAAACGAATTTTACGAGAACTTGTTGCCGATGGATGGATTGAAGAAATTAATGACTCTGATTTTAAAATTATTCGCAAGTTTCAATCCCTGAATCAGCTACAAAATATGTATTAGCAAACATGCTGGAGATTGGGGGGTTCCACTTTGAATATACAATTACCGACGTTGACCACACGGATGAAGTAGAAAAAATGTTTCACGATACTGGCATAACTACAAAATTTCTACGACTTAACCTTGAAAATGATCCCTTGTCGCAAGGCTTTATTCCAAATCATTACGACGTAATTATTGCCCCATTACTTGTTTTCCATGGAATGCGGAATTCAGCCAATGCTGTACAAAATGCAGCCAAATTATTGAAACATGGTGGCTACATTTTTATCTCGGAAATTATACAGCCGTGTCGGCATATTGATATGATGCTAGGTGGAACAGAAAATTTTGAACTATTCCCCATTACAAATTGGGAAAGTGTACTTGAAACCAATGGTTTTTGCGATATCGTTTCCGTTCCTGTATATGAGAAAATGGGTGCCTTAATCCTAGCCAAACTTGGCTTGCAAAAATATAACATTTTGACAGACAAACCAGAAAAGGATGATAAAAGTGAGTGGATTATCTTTGGGGATGACGGTCCCACAACGGACAACCTTACCATCAAACTAAAGCAGATAAGTTGCTCCGTGGAAATTATACGAAACACACATACAATCAGCCCAAGCGAAACGATGGAGGCACGAATACGTGCAATTTTTGAAAAATCATCCCAGAATAATATCCAGGGTGTCATATACATGTCTGGAATTGACCAACCCCTCACAACTCGACAAATATGTGAACCATTCTTGTACATTTGCAAATTTTTGGCCAAAGTTCAATCCCCACTAAAAGTGGTTACATGTACGCGTGGAAACATGTGTATCGGCTCAACCGACTTTGACCTGACCGCACCAGTATCCTCACCAATTATTGCAATGACGAACGTATTAGCCAACGAAAACCCTGACCTGATCTGCAAATGCGTAGACATTGGAGCAAGTGATGATGCCTGTGCAGAAATTTTCTCCGAACTTTTTACCACCGATATCGACCTCATGATAGCATATCGATCCGGACAGCGCTGGACGCCCAGAATAAAACCCCTCAAACTCAAAAACAATCCTCTCATGATCCCCAAAACTAACCGGTACAGACTCGTTCTACCAGGCACCAAGACAATTGAAGATCTACATTTTGAACCTTGCCAGCCTGAACCCCTTGGCGAGGGGGAAATTGAGATTGAAGTTAAAGCTTGCGGCTTAAACTTCCGGGATTTATTCTGTGTAACGAAACCTGATCCTGCTTTTGTCAACTTTAACACGTTGGGTGTCGACATGGCTGGATACATCACTGCTGTCGGCCCTGGGTGTGGTCCAGAGAAGAAAGTTGGTGATCGGGTCGTCCACTGTCGACGATATGGGCCTTCACTCCCGAGTCATATCGTGGTTCCAGGAGGGCACACGGTCCTTGTCCCGGATGACGTCACATTCGCAGACGTCGTAACCTTTCCGCTTGGATACATCACTGTGGCCCAGTGTCTTGAAAGGGTTGCCAAAATCGAGGCCAATGACATCGTCCTCATCCACACGGCTTCCGGCGGCGTGGGGCTAATTGGGATACAAATGGCGCAAGAATATGGAAGCACGATTGTTGCCACGGCGGGAAACAAACGGAAGCGGAACTACTTGCGAAGTTTGGGGGTGAAACATGTCTTCAATTCAAGAACGACAAATTATGCGGAGCAGGTCAAAAAAGCGCTTGGAGGTCGAGGCGTCACAATTGTGCTTAACTCGCTCACCGGGCCAGGATTTAAGGAGGCGACGTTATCTCTATGCGAACCGGGCGCGCGGTTTGTGGAAATCAGCAAAATGAATATTTGGAGCGTAGAAGAATTTGAGAAGCTGAGACCCGACGTGAAATACGAGATCGTTGATGTATCCGCGTTAGAAATGGGGGAATGTGTCAGTATCATGAGAGACGGCCTGGCGAGGAACTTGGGCAGGAATGATAAGCTCATCCCACTTCCGTACGTTCGCTTTGATAACTGCGATATTCGCCAGGCCCTCGAGTTAATGGAGAAGGCGAGACATATTGGAAAAATTGTGGTGACCATGCCAGAAAAATGTGTGGCTGGAGGGTCAGAAGTTGCCCAGAAGAGTCAGCCGCTGTATCCGGAAGGGACTACTTAATCACCGGTGGGCTGGGCGGAATCGGTTTGGAAGTTGTGAAATGGATGGCAAGTTCTGGCGCGCAAAACGTACTTCTTATTGGACGTAGTCCACCAAAACCTGGAGCACTCACGGTTATCAAAGACCTGACAAGTTCCGGAGTTAGGGTTGAAGCGAGGCAATGTGACGTTGGCGATTTTGCGGACCTTATGAATTTGTATGAAGACGTGGCACAGTCATTTCCCCCAATTCGAGGAATTATCCACGCCGCAGGAATTTTGGATGATGGAACTTTCGAAAACCAAACTTGGAACAAATACGAGACCGTGTTTCATAGCAAGGTCAAAGGCAGCTGGAATCTGCACATGCTCAGCCTACGAGTAAAATATCCTCTCGAACATTTCATACTTTTTTCATCCACTGCCGCCACCCTGGCTGCGATGGGGCAAAGCAACTATTCTTCGGCAAACTACTTCCTGGATGAGTTGGCCCATTATCGTAACGCTTTAGGGCTTCCCGCCACCACGATAAATTGGGGACAGTGGGCCCAAGTCGGGATGGCGGCAAATATTGTGTTTCCTCTTTTTAAACCAATGTCCATAAATCAAGGTATCGCAGCATTGGAGAACATTATGAAAAGCCACAAGACACAAGTTCTCGCTCACGAGGCGGATTTGGGGGCAGTGAAAAACTTTCTCAAGTCCACGAAAGGTCTACTCGCTGAATTTGAGAAACTCGACACGGGCGAGTCTGGCATTGATGGGGACGAATTTTGGTCCGATTTTGACTCTGTGTCTGATTCGGACGCAAAGTATCAAATAATTTGCAGCTTCCTGAAAAAGATTCTTCGTACAATACTCAAAATCGGGAAACACGACGAGATCAAGGATGACGAGAACTTTCAAGAAATGGGCGTTGATTCGTTGATGATGGTTGAGATGAAGAACGGAATCCAAGCATCCATCGGAAAGAGAGTCAAAATTTCAATAAATTCAGTCAAGGATTGTAAAACAGTGGCAGAACTGTCGAAACGACTGGTTAATCTGATCACATAGAGCGAAGATTTAGCCCCACTAACTCCAGACGCCTTGCTTCAGTTGGCCTTGGAGGATGGAAAACTCCCCGACTCTGTTAAAGTTGACGCGTCCCTACAACACAATTTATGTCCGCTGTCTAGCATCTCCACCGTACTGGTCACAGGAGGGACGGGAAACTTGGGTCCATACGTAGTTCGGGAGCTGTTAAGACGAACGCACATCAAGAAGATCATCTGTGTTATGAGAAAGCATCCATGCATGACAATTAGCCAGCGATTCAGATTTCTGTATGAAAAGAAGAATTTGCTGTCGGAAATTGAAATTGAAAAGATTGAATTCGTCGAGGGTGACGTAACTGAGAAAAACCTGGGCATGGAAGATTCAGCATATGCGCTGCTCTGTGGTGAAGTTGATGCGATTTTTAATTGCGCCGTAATCATGGAAATGCATACCACCTACAAAGAGGACTGCACGGCACGATCAATCAATGTGATCGGAACTAAAAACGTTCTGGAATTTGCGGTTGAACAAAAGTTGAAATACGTTTACCAAAGTTCATCAATTGTTGCGGAGGCAAAACTGGGGGAAGATGGGGCTTATAGTCAAAACTGGCCCTTTATTGAGGACATCTCCCTGATCCCGAACTCTGCTTATGCAACTTCGAAGTTCATCAGTGATTGCCTCGTGGCGCAAGCGGTTGCCAGAGGCGTTCCTGGAAAACTTTTCAGATTTCCACACATGAGCGGTGACAGCGCCACTGGAGGAAACGTGCAGATGGACTCGTTCGTCATGATGAGATTTCTATCATATTTGAACTTTAAACACATGCCGATTCAGAAAATCCCGATAAGCATTTTTCCAGTGGATAAGTGCGCACAATTTTCGATGGAATTGTTCTTTAAGGAGGAGACCGGAGGAAGTTTTTAACGTGTTTAACCCGCATGTCGTCGAGATTTACATAATTATTTTAAATGATATTTGACATGATAATGAAAAAAATCTGAATGTATTTGCTGTGATATGAAAATGACTTTGGTGGATGTATGTATGTACCTTTGAGACAGAGACCAGTTTGGTAAATTTGAATGGTGCCATTCTGTCGTCCTTTTTCCTGGAACTTGTCCAGTTTTTAATCTTTTTCTTTAAAGATTTTTGAACCTTTCGTGACCTCCTCAACCCCACCTCCAATAATTGTGTGGCCATCAGCCATTGGCTGGTGAGGTTGAGGAGACCTTCCTTTTGCCAGAAGTTGGCTTCGGGTTTGGCAGTGAATATGCCCTTTTTAAGTGAAGTTCAAGTTGAAATAATTGGAGTGTCTCTCCAGCTACGAGAACAATAACACGTATTTTGCCCCTCGTCTCTCCTAACACTCTAAAATTGTAAGTAAATGAGAAATTGTGTGACGAATAAATAAAACTACCAACAAAGTAACTAATTGTAACAACGCCGCCGCTTATTTACACAGTTTTACGGTCACACCACGCCATCGAGTTACACAATAAGTCATACAAACATAAAAAACATACAGTCCTCCAATTTCCGAGACACCGCATTTAGGTAGGATTCAAGTAATTTATAGAGAAATTCATTGTTAATTGATTGATGTCTAATGTGGGTTTTCAAATTTAAATTTCAGGGGATGAACTTAATTTTGAAGAAATGGCGAGAACCGAGTTTGGCATCGTTGTTAAGCCGATTACAACAACTGAATTTTTTGAAAAGTTAAATAAGGTTTTGGAAAATGATGCCGTTCATGAAATGGCCAAGCTAATCATTCCATTCGATTCTGAGCTTCAAAATATGGAAAACAATTATGAACCCTATATTTCTTGGATAAATGGGAATAAAAAAATATTTTGGAGCCATA